GACGCTGGTCAGGCCGAGGGCGCGAAGGGTGTCGGTGACGAGCTGGCCGCGCGAGGCGGCGGGCACCGCGCGGAGCCGCGCTGCCAGCATCAGCGTCTCGCTCGCCGTGAGGCAGCCGTAGAGCTTCTCTTCCTGCGGAGGGCCGAGAGGATGCGGAGAGGGCGCCTTGTGACGCGACACTCTGCAGCTGCTGGCGGCCGGTGGGTCGCTCCTCGCGCAAGCTGCGGCTGCCCCAAGCAAACGACCTGACTGTCCACTACTACTGTTTGTGTGCTGCGTGCTGCCGACACTCGCGCGGGCTGCGGGCAGAGCAGCCACCTGCGGCACGTATCCGATCCTCTCCGCAGTGGCGCCGTCATACTCGGCGCCGTCGAGCAGGACACGGCCCGCATCGGGCAGCGCATGGCCAGCGAGGATCCGCAGCAGCGTTGTCTTGCCCGCGCCCGACGGGCCGAGTATGCCAAGGATGCCGCCTTCGAGCGGCGACTCGGAGTCTGACGCGTCATCCTCCGACTCGCCGCTCACCCACGCGTCCGCCGACGGAGGTTCGCCCGAGAGCGCGTGGCCGTGCGCGTCCTGCAGCACCCGCCTTTGGCCGCGGCCGTCGGGCACGCTGGCGCATAGGCCTTCCCAGACGATCGAGTGCTGAGACAGCATTGACCCGCGCGCGCGGCCGGGCTGGCTCCAACAAAAAATATCCAGGGGCCCTCAGCGGAGCTGGGAAGAGGACCGCCGCAAGCGGCGTGGCTGGGTCGGTTGTGCATCCCTCCGGGGGCCCCTCTGCGCCGGGGAGGCGTTGTTGGAGGCTAGGACGCAAGCGTCCGTCGCCCTTTTCAAACTCGGGGCCCACTCCGCTACGCTCCGACCCGAATTTGGAGGGCCTAAAAGTTTAAGGTGTTGCTGCGCAAAAGGGGTCGGACACCGGGCGCAGCTCATGCTAAGAGCTAGAAGAGGAGATAGAGAGAACAACCACCCTGTCCCGTTATTGCGTACACCAACACCACAAACAAAACGCTCTCTCTCTCCTGTCCTCACTCAGGGGGGTCACAACTACCAAGTCCCTCGACTAGCTGCCACAGGGCGCAGCTGCCACAGGGCGCAGCTGGAGACGCTCCCCCTCAATCGGCATCCACCCCCACCCGCTCCAGCCCCACTTCTGCTGCCGAGAGAGCTGAATCGAAGCAAGCGAGCCATTGCATCTTGGCGTGCTCCTGGAGCGCGGCTTTCTGCGGCCACGAGCACGGCGGAGTCGGCGTCGTAGCGCGCATCGTTCCCGCTCATCGCCCATTCCTCCCGTGACATGTGTCGGCCGCGATTCGATGTCGCCACCTTCATCGCCAACGAGGACTCCCTCGACTGCAGGGGGGCTCCGGCGCGGGGAGGGACTCCGCCTGCAGCGCTGGCCGACTGCGCCCTCCTCCTCCATGGGCTCGATCCGATTCCGCAGCGGCGGTGCTGCGCGGGAGGCGGCCGCGGGCACGCTGGGCTCGATCAGGAGCTTTCCCTCAGTTGCTCCGAAAGCACGGATTTGGCGGACGTTCTTGGCTCAATTTTACGATGTCTTGGCACCAGCTGAAGGCTTGGGTCCCACATCGCCCAGTTCGTGCACGGTATTCGGATTTTGCTATTTGCTCGTGTGGGGGTATATTGCAGATTTGTCAATGGTACCGCGTCTGCGACGCGGGCGCCTTGCGAGCAGAGCCCTTAGGACACACCCTTTATATCTTGCGCGGTCAATACCGAGTTTCTTGAGGAGCGAACGGAGCCGCCGGTGTGTCCCGCAGCGGCCTCGCTGGGCCAGAAAGTCGGCCCGCCAGTGCTCCGCAGCAGCCTCGCTGGGCCAGAACGTCGGCCCGCGAGGTGGATGCTAGCATGAGCCCGATCCGTCGCAGTGCTCTTGCGTTACGGCGGTAGTGATCTAATCACCCGAATGCCACGTTCGGATCGCTCCTCATCGCAAACCCTGTCAGCAGTTCACCCTCGGGTATGTTCGTAAGAGCTACATACACTGAAAAATTACAGCGGCCGCGTCCAAATGCTCCGACGCTAGCCGATGTTCTGTGTACACACGCCTCTGTGTTCTCGGGTCTACTTCCCTGACTCATCTGTGCTGTGATCCGTCCCCCACGGCTGTGCTGGCTGCTGCGGGTTGGGCCCCTTGAGCCTTGTGTGCGTGCTAGAGCCGTAGAGGACGCCTCCTCCCGAGTCACACCACAGCGCTGGTCGAGTGACTCGGGGAATTCCGCGCCTGACTCGGGCGGGAACACGAATCTGCGAGGCGTGCGCGAAGCCATTCCGCCGGCGTGGCGGCGTGCCGATTTTGGCGAATAGGCAGGCTAGCGGCGGCGAGGCGGCGATCGGCGGCGAGGCGGCGGCCGGTGGCGAGGCGGAGAGTGGTGGCGATAATAGAGCGGCGGTGGGCGAGGCGGCGAATGGTGGCGAGGA